TTTGAAAAGTTCCAATATTTTCAGGCCTGTCCTTATTCGCCTTGGACGATGACGAAACAAAAGGAGAGGAAGAGGCGAGACGAAGGAGGAGGAGAAGGAGAGGGGCGTTGGGGAAGAAGAAGAGGAGGCGAACAATAACAAGAAGCGAGCGAAATGAATGGAGAAAGAAAAATGAAAGGAAAGAGAAAATAAGAGAGCCCGGCAGGAGACAAGACGCGGCCAGAAGGTTTCATCACAGCTCCAGACTCCCCTATTCTGCCTCCCCTCCCCTCCTCCCCCCTCATGCCTTAGAACTTCACTGATGAAGGTGTCCACCCCCTCCCTCCCCTCCCTCCCTTCCTCCCTCCTCCCTCCCTCTCCCTCCTCCCTCTCTCCCTCTCCCTCCTCCCTCTTATATCCCAACGCATATTAACGCAATGATGAAAGTGGTAACAAAAGTGACGAGCAACGGCGATGGTGACGTGCGGGGACCGAGCGTGACTGACGATGACTTGCCGTGACTCTCGCTGACTGACTTAGACTATCTCATAGTTCCTGACGGCGACTGACGCCCGATAAACCCAAAAAAAAAAACCTTGCAACTTCCGAGGGCTGACAATCTCTCTCTCTCTCTCTCTCTCTCTCTCTCTGTGTGTCTTGCCTCTCTCTCTGCACATATAACATATGACTCTATATACACCCACTCTCTCCTTTTCTCTCTCCCTCCCTTGCACTCTCTCTCTCTCTCCTCCTTCCTCCCCCTCTCTCTCTACCACTCCCCCTCTCCTCTCCCTCCCTCCCTCGCTCCCCCATCTCTCTCCCTCCCTCCCCTCATTCCCCCCCCCTCCTCCGCCTCTCTCGTTCTCTCTCCCTCCTTCGCCTCTCTGTCCCTCCCTCCTCCTCCTCTCTCTCTTTCCCTCCCTCCCTTCCTCCCTCCCTCCCTCCCTCCTCCTCCTTCCCCTTCCCCCACCCGCTGACGTCGCAAGGGTGTGAAAAATGGCTCAGACAACAACTGCACCGCGTGAATGGGGGTAAGAGGGAGGAGGGGGGAGGGGGGGGGAGGAGGGAGGAGGGGGAGGGGGGAGGGATGTTGGTCTGATTGGACATTACAAGGAGGGCTCACATGATCCTTGCGGAGGAGGGAGGGAAGGCAGAGGAAGGGAGAGGAGGGAGAGGGAGGGAGAGGGAGGGAGAGGGAGGGAGAAGGGAGAGAGAGAGAAGAGAGAGAGAGGAGAGAGAGAGAGAGAGAGAGAGAGAGAGAGAGAGAGAGAGAGAGAGAGAGAGAGAGAGAGAGAGAGAAAGAAAAAGAAAGAGAACAAAGAGAGAAAGAGAAAAAAAAGAGACAAAGAAAGAGACACATACACGCACACAGACACCAAGATACAAAAAAGAAAAACAACCCAAAACGAAGACAGAGACGAGAGATAAAGAGAAGAAATCCGTTGAAGGGAAAACCAAAGACCAATATCCGGCCATCTTCCCGTCGTGTGTCCGGGCGACCGAACCTGTCCGAGGAGACGCCGGTTTAATGTGTCTAATTTAACGGAAAATGTGTCTTCTGTGTATACGATCATTATCATCATCATCACCTTCATAATAATGATAATAATAATAATGTAATGATATAATGATTTTAATAATAACAATATAATGATTATAATAATAATAATATAATGATTGCAATAATAATAATATAATGATTATAATAATAATAATATAATGATTAAAATAATAAAATAATAATGGTAATAGTAATAATAACATATATATATAATGATAATGATATAATAATGATAATAATATACAATTATAATGGTAATAGTAATAATGATAATATAATTACAATAATAGTATTAACCAAAATAAAGATATTAATGCAAGAGTAATGATAATGATAATAATAGTAATAGCACCACCACTCCCATCGCCCCCCCCCCCAACCCCCAGCGTTAACACCAGCACCGCCATCGCTACCCCCCTCCCCCCAACGCCAGCCCCGCCCCATAAACCTCGGAAAAGGAATGTCTGTTAGCGTTCGCGTGACGGCGGCCAAGGGGTGGAGGGGTGGGGAGGGGAGGGGCAGGGGGCAGGGCATGGGTGTGGGAGGGGAGGGGGCAATGGGTGTGGGATGGGTGTTGGGAGGGGCAGGGGCATGGCATGGGTGGGGGAGGGGCAGGGGCATGGGTGTGGGAGGCAGGGCATGGGTGGGGAGGGGCAGGGGCATGGGTGTGGGAGGGGCAGGGGGCATGGGTGTGGGAGGGCAGGGGGCATGGTGTGGGAGGGGCAGGGGGCATGGGTGTGGGAGGGGCAGGGGGCAGGGGCAGGGGGCATGGGTGGGGGAGGGGCAGGGGCATGGTGGCATGGGTGGGGAGCGGGCAGGGGTGTGGGCGGGGCAGGGGGCATGGGTGGGGGAGGGGCAGGGGCAGGGCATGGGGGAGGAGGGGGGGGCAGCAGCAAGTTCGATTGCAAGCACACACTTCGGCCGCCGCTGGGAGACCTTCAGTGCCTGCTTGCCAATCTCGCCTGCTTTTGTCTCTTCTGCTGGTCGGCTGTCTCGCTTTTGTCTCCTCCTTCTCCTGTCTCCCTCTTCGTTCGCTCCTTCCCTTCGCTTCCGCCTCCTGGCAACGGAGGAGGAAGGGATGTGGAGGATGCGGAGGAGGAGGAGGTGGTGGAAGGGAAGGATCTCCTCTCCCTCACGCTAATGCCTCCATCACCTTCACCTCCAGCACCAGCACCTCCTCCCACTCCCTTCCTCCACCACTCCATCTCCTCAACCCCTCCACCTCCACTTCTCCACTTCTACACTCCACTCCTCCTCCACCTTCTCCACCCTCCTCCTCCTCCTCCTCTCCTCCTCCTCCACCCTCTCCTCCTCCCTCCTCCACCTTCTCCACCCCTACCTCCTCCTCCCTCTCCACCTTCTCCACCCTACATCCTCCTCCTCCACCTCGCTCCTCCCCTTCTTCCCATTCGCTCCCCTCCTCCTCCTCTTCCTTCGCCCCCTCCTCCACCTTCTCCCCCCCCCTCCCCATGGCGCGATGGAACTGGGCGCGAAAGAAGGCATCTCTAATGGCCTCAGATAACAGCTGATACGGAGGGAGAGTCTTGTGAGGTTTCTTCACAGCGTTTAGTCACTCCGGGGCTCTCTTATCCCTATTTGTCTTTCCTTTTCTCTTAATTTCTCTCATTCTCTCTCTCTCTCTCTCTCTCTCCCCTCTCTTTCTCTTTCTCTTTCTCTCGCTCTCTCTCCCCCCCCCCTCTCTCTCTCTCATCTCTCTCTCTCTCCCTCTCTCCTCTCCCTCTCCCTCTCCCTCTCCCTCCCTCTCTCTCTCTCTCCCTCTCCGTAAGCAGCCTGAGCGCTTCCAGTCGCCGATCCGCCTCTCCCGCCGCACTCGATCCCTTCGGCCGAAAGTCCCGCCAAGCAAATATAATCCCAGAAAGTAATAATTCCTCTCTGCACTCCTTTCCGCTGGGATTTTCTGCGCGCGGGGGGTGGGGTGGGGTGGGGGGGAGGCAGGAGGATGGGGAAGGGGGAGGGGGAGGGGGTGAAGGTGGGAGTTCTGGCGCCTGGTCGTGGCGTCTGACTACCCTTCCCCCCCTACCCCCTCCTGGCGCCGTGACCTCGGTGACGGTTCGCCAGTTGCCGACCGACACCAACGACCCCTTCCCCCCCTCCCCCTCCCTCTAAACCTCCCCTTTCTCCATAGTTTTTCCTCCTCCTCCTCCTTGCACTCCCCGTTTTTCAACTTCGTCTCCATGTTTCTCTTTCCCCATTCTCCATCCCCTGCCATCACTTGCTTCCCTTTCTCCTCTTCCTCCTCTTTTCATCTATCCTTCACCTCCTTCCTCTCCCTCCTTTATCTTCTCTCCCACCTCCTTCCTCCCCCATAACTCCAGACCCTCCCCTGCAACGCCGTCGGAAGGCGATCAATACCCGCTTTTTTGTCCGTGCCATCATCATTATCAAAGCCTATGCAGAACCGCAGGAGATTTAGTCTAAAATCGTCGGTATATCTTATCTTCCGCTCGCTTTTGTTCGCTTTTCCCTCCGTTTCGCCTTTTGCCTGACGGCGGGCTGGTCGCTTTCGTCTTCAACTTTTGAGTCGTCGTCTGTCAGTGTGTTGTTTTCAGTTTGTGTTTCAATCCGTTTTCCTTCTTTTCATTATAGTCACTCTCCATTCTCTTTATTTTCTCTGCTTCTCCCTTTCTTCCTTTTCCCGTCTCCCCCTTTCGCCAATGCATAAACATGATTTGGCTCTCCCCTCGGTCATGATATCCATTACGTCATACATACGTCGACAGAGTCTTAACCAATCAGGGTGGAGATTCGACCCCCCCATCTAGCCAATCACGGAACGCGACGTCACTGGAATAGATCGAGTTGCCAGGACTCAATCTTCAGGGTTCGATTTTCGAGTACGTGTTTTCGCGGAACGTAATACCCGCCCCTTTGTTCCGACAAATCATTTGAGATTGGCTAATCAATCTCTCCCCGCCGCTCCAACATGATCACGATACGCAAAATAATAACAAAATGATGATCATGGCGAGTTGCCAATTCGTTTTCCATCGACGTTTCCAACACCCGTCAATTTTTTTACCATTCCAATATTGATTTATTTGCCTTTGTGATTAATCAACCGGCTAATCCACGTGTCCCCAATCCTAGTTAGGGAGTCTCGTATCTGACACGTGTCGGCCGAACCCAAACGGGATCATTACTGTAATCAGGCTACTTTTTACGAGATCCCATTTTCAGAATCAGTGCAGGAGTTCGAGTCCGACGCGTGAATTTTGAAAAAAAAAAAAAAAAAATTTTTTTTTTTTTTTCAAGATCAGGATTACAAAGACGGCGCCCGTTTCAAAGTCGACGGAAATGACGCAAAGGTCGATAAACGAAGTCGACATTCGAGCGGACGAAAGCAAATATTACAAAACCAGTGAAACCTTTCTATTTCGATATCTAGGGAAACCACAAAAATCGATTTATATTTTTTTGAGAAAAAAGGAAAAGTACTTACATGGTCGAGGGATCTGAAGAGGAAGATGTTTTTGACGGATTCGGACAACCTCTGTCTCTGCTCGTCCGATTTGGCGTGAATGATCTGAGGAAGAGAGAAAATTCATTAATATTGGATATGCATTCGGTTACTGCAATTGACAGACACCTCAGTAAAAGAATTATTACCGGGCATTCATTTTTCGGAAAGTATTTTTTATGTGTGTGTGTGTGTGTGTGTGTGTGTGTGTGTGTGTGTGTGTGTGTGTGTGTGTGTGTGTGTGTGTGTGTGTGTGTGTGTGTGTGTGTGTGTGTGTGTGTGTGTGTGTGTGTGTGGTGGTGTACAGACTGAGAGACAAATAAATGCTTAAGACACTTGCTTTTCCTCAAAGAGTGACCACCCAAAAGTAAGGGACATAAAAAAGAAAGAAAGAAAAAGAAAAAAAGAAAAAGAAAAGCCATACAAGCGAATCCAACAAAAAAGCCCAAAAGACGAACGAAAACCAATTAAAAAGCAAATGTTAAAGGAGGGAAAATAGGAAATAGGAAAACACAAAGAGAAAAGAATTAAGAAAACAGAGAAAAGAAAATAGAAGAAGAAGGAGAAGGGGATAAACAGCTGTAAAAATAATTAGGCACAGCATACGGCAGCTGTCAAGACCTCCCATGAACAAAGATCCAACACACGAAGAAAGGAGAAGGCGAAAGGGGAAATGAAAGAATCGGACGAAGAAAGGGGAATAGAAGAGGGGGAAATAACCAGGGAAAGAATGGAAAATAAGATGAAGAGGGAGAAAAGATGGAAAAAGAATTTAAAAAAACAAACAGATGAAATAAAGTAAGAACAACAAATGGGAAAGAAAAAAAGAAAAAAGAGTAAAAACAAGTAGAAAGAAAAATAGTAGAGAAAGAAAGAAAAAAAAGAAAAATAAGAAAAGATAACACGAAGAACAGGAAGCAGCAGTATGAAAGAAAGAAAAAAATACGAATAAAAAAAACTCATCCCCCCCCTCCCCCTCCCCCTCCCTCCCTCCACGACCTACCCTCCCTTCGCGATAAGCGTTGCAGGGAGGGAAGGGTGAAGGGTGAATCACCAAAAGGGAGAGTGACACTTGTTGTTCTTCAGTCACGCGCTTTAGGGAGAAATGGGGGAGGGAGGGGAGGAGGAGAGGGAAGAAGAGGAAGAAGAAGAAAAGGAGGAGGAGTAGGAGTAGAAGGAGGAAGAGGTCAAGAAGGAGTAGGAGAAGCGGGAGAAGAAGAAGAAGAAGAAGAAGAAGAGGAGGAGGAGGAGGAAGAAAATGAAGAGGAGAAGGAGAAGGAGGAGAAGCAGGCGAAGTAGGAGGATGAAGCAGAGAAGGAGAGGGAAGAAGAAGAGTAGTAGTAATAGTAGGAAGAAGCGGAAGAGGAGGAGGAGGAGGAGGAGAAGGAGGAGAGGAGGAGGAGGAGGAAAGGAGGAGGAAGAGAAGGAGAGGAAGAAGAAAGAAGAAGAAGAAAAAGAAGAAGAAGACGAAGAATAAGTAGAAGAGCAGTAGTAGTAGTAATAGGACAACGACAACAACAACAATAATAATAATAATAATGAAGAGAAGGGATAGGAGGAAAAGGGGAGAGGGTACATGGAGAAGAAAAGGAAAGTAAAGAAAGAGAGGGGAAAGAGGAAAAGAAAGAAGAGAAGAAAAAGATAAGAAACGAGAAAAAAGGTACAAACGGCGATAAACAGAGAGATAGAGAGAGAAGAGCGGCAAAAGAAAAAAAAATGTAAAGGGAACAGGTGAATTAAAGAAAGGAGGAAGAAAGGAGAGCAAGAAGTAATACAATAAACACAAGGAACAAAAAATGCAGATAATAAAAGAAAGGACCCAACGCGAACACAAGAAAATATGAGAGGAATTCTGGAATGGAATCACACTATGACGTCATTCCAACCTATGACGTCACTCCCTGCAATGAGCGATCCTTCCCCCTCACGCCACTCTCTCCTCCCTCTCCCTCCTCCGAAACCCCCCCTCTCCCCTCTTCTCCCTCTCCCTCCTCCGACCCCCTCCCCCCTCGCCACTCCCTCCTCCGACACCCTCCCCCTCGCCCACTCCTTCGACCCTCCACTCCCTCTCCCCCCTCCCTCCTCCGACCCCCCTCCCCTCTCGCCCACTCCTCTGACTCCTCCACCCTCTCCCCCTCTCCTTCCCTCTCTTTCGACCTCTTCCCTCGTCCCGCTCCCCCCCCTCCCACCCCCCTGGCATGACCGCTGCAACATCAAAAACGAGATGGAAGTTTCTCGAATCTTGGGAAAACAGGCCTTTCGAGGATTTATCTTTCCGCTTCCGTTCCTTGTGCTTGTTGGCACTTCTCTCTCTTTCTCTCTCTTTTCTCTCTCTCTTTTCTCTTTCTTCTGTGTCTGTTCTGTTTCTCTCTCTCTCTCTCTCTCTCTCTCTCTCCTCTCTCTCTCTCTCTCTCCTCTCTCTCTCTCTCTCTCTCTCTCTCTCTTCCTCTCTCTCTCTCTCTCTCTCTCTCCTCTCTTCTCT